CGCCACCGCCACCACCACCACCACCACCACTACTACCGCTGTCTCTCCATCACCATCTCTTCTACAATAACCATAAACACCATTGTCGCCGCCGTCACTACCACCCCACAACTACACCACCATCACCATCTCATCATTGTCTCCCATCATTATTATTGCCGTTCACCATCATTACCACCGCTCGCCCCAATTATAGTCGGTGCTTAAATTTTTTTCTTTCTCCTCTATTTTTATAATTTGATTTTGAGTGTAAATATAAATATGTTTATTGTTGACCATTTTTTTTATTACTCTGTGTCTTCAAACACAAGAAATAACTAGTTATTAAATAGAGCAATGCTATTGGGACATAATAAGTTGTCACCAATAAAATGAAAGTGAATTCATTTAATGCTACAATGACACCCATCATTAAATATATTTTACTATTATTTTATTGGTGCCAACTTATTATGTCCCAAAATTATGTCCATAAATTATATCCCAGTAGCATTAGTGTATTAAATATTCTACCAAATACCATAGAATGCCATAATCATACAAAACCAAAAAAAATAGTGCACAGTACACGATCAACGTAGTCTATTGTGCACTACAAAAACCAAGAGGGTACTCAGCAGCATCAACAAGATCTTCAACGCTGTGGGTAGAATCCTCCTCTGCACCCAAAAAGAGTATATATTTCTGCCTGCAACACATTGTTCAGTAAAGCTAGCATCAGAATCTAAGCTCATTGCACACATACACAAATAGATAGTTTAAAAGTTACAAGATCTGTACATATACGTATATAGATAGTTTAAAAGTGACAGAATTTCATAGTGTTAGAGAGAGATCGATGGAGATGGATTAGATATGGGTTTGAGAGAAAGGAGAATATCATACCCTCAGATAGACAATGTGAGTGCTTCGAATTGCTTCAATGGAAGCTACTTTTGAGTTCTTTGTGAGACAGAGAGATTACAGACGAGAGACAGAGGGTAGGGTTGGGTGAACGAGAGATCTTCCAACAAAAAATTTCCTTTTTTTTTCATTAATAGGGTTCGATGTCTGGACCTCATTAAATGGATGAGCACAACGTGCTCTTGTTTCTCTTTATTGCTATTTTTGAAAATATTAAATTCTTGTTTGTAAATTTGGGACTTGTTTTTAAAACAAATTAGGTAGAAAACAAACAACTTATCAAACACATTATTTTTTTGACAAAAATTAAAAACAAAAACACAAAATCCAAAACAAATACGTTACAAACAAAACCTAAATGTCTAATTTTTATGAATTTAGTACCACCGCTGAGCTCGGGGTGTCAACCCCTCATCCTCAATAGGGAGGCAAGCAGTTCAAACCTCGTAAGACATCTGTGGAGGCAAGGAATAGCTCTTGTTAGACTTGGACTTGATCCTCCTAACAATATAGTGGTTCCCATCCCCCCCACCCCATCTTCCTTTGGGTTAGTACATGACGTAGAATTAGTAGGCCAGCAATATGCGGTCATCGAGACTTGTATAAGTCAAGGTGAGATGACAAAACCGCACAATTATATATATATATATGTGTGTGTGTATGCGCCCGCGCGCGTGTTTTAGTTACACTTTCTCATTTTACAATATACAAATATCTCCTCCTTTCACATTGATATTCAAGCTTTAAACTGTGGGTAGTGTTTGGGTTAAAAGGTACATTTAAGAATTGAACTATTACTAAAATGCTAGAATTTGTTGCAGTTTCCTCAAAGCATACAAAAGCACTTTTTATATGATCTTTGCTGTACGAATCAAAATTCAAATACGAATCTATGTTGCGAACATAATTTCTTTTCAACAATAAATTAATTAGAAAAATGGTCTGACAAGACTTTGTCGAGTTATTATCCCATTAAGCTAATTGACATATTTATTGTATTCTTTTCTTGTTTAGTTCAGTCAATGTAAAATAGAACAAAAATCCATTACTCTTATGCGCAGAACTATTGGGCTTATGAAAACTTGAGATTATGACATGGTTAATTTGTTGTTAAACTGGACTATTGATCCTCTTGTATACGGAGATTATCCTCCAGAAATGCGTCGTTATCATGGCAGTGAATTACCTAGCTTCTCCACGGAGGAAACAGAGTGGATTAAAGGCAGTATTGACTTCATTGGAATTAATCATTATTCAGCAATATATGTCAAAGACTGCATATATTCTAGCTGCAACCAGGCTGGGAATCGTACGATCCAAGGCTTTGTAGAGACAACTGGAGAGCGAGATGGAGTTCCTACTGGAGAACCAGTATGAAATTTAGAGTTTTTTTCTAGTTTTTTTGGTCTTTGATTACTAGTCTTTTTAAATTTGTTGTTCTTCTTTCCCACAGACAGTAATGCCAGCATTTTTTGTAGTTCCAAGAGGCATGGAGGAGATCGTCAACTATCTTAAGAACAGATATCATAACAAGCCTATGTTTGTGACTGAAAATGGTGAGTAAAATTAAATGGTTCAGTTATCTTCTCATTTTGTATGTTGTGTAAGTCCACTGAAATAGTTATAGACTTATAGTAGGTAAGTATGGATATATCAAATCTTAGTATTACTTCATTAATTTTACTTACTTGAAAATGTGCCATAATCATGAATTATAGTACTAAAGGAAAGTTTTTTTTGTTTTTTTTTTCTAGGAGCACTCTAAATTTTTCTGATCAAAATGAAAATATCGAATGATTTGGAATCACTTTCCTATGCACCAAATCTTACTATAAATTGCACGACATTAATGTGTAATTCTCTCAAACATACTGTTTCCAGTAGCATTGCAGTCTCTATGTATTGTCACCTCCTTACTCCTTGGATTTATAAATCACCACAAATCATAGTATCAGACATAACTTTCATAGGTAGAACCCAACCGGAATTTTTCAACGACCAAGGAGAAACATTGTTTAGTAGGTGATGTAATGCAAGAAACCAAAAGGACAAGGTACATTACCACTAAAACTTCTAAGTTCTAACATCATCTTATATATTTCGGAACTTTAATTTTTTTGACTTAAAACTCCAGGTTATTCTCCGCCAGAGAAAGAAGAGGCACAAGTTCAAGACGTACTGCATGATGTGAAACGAATTGAATTTCACAAAGGATACTTTGCTTCCTTGGCCCAAGCAATAAGGTGACTTGTACACTCAACAGTGCTTCTTTATAACTACGGTTGGCCAAGTCATGAATTTTGTTCTAGCATTAGTCTTTACTGTGGCCATTTCTCTTTCTCTCCACTTTCACAGTTTATGCACAAGAAGTTCTATATGTTCACATGTTTACGTGATCAACTCTGAACAAAATTTTTAAGACTGTTCAAAGTTCATCCTATGGTGTGTTAATTATTGTTAGTCTCCAAATGTTCTTATTGAAAACTAAGACTTGCAAGTTTGTTTTACTGAAGATAATGCTTGTCATTGTATTGCCAGGAATGGTGCTGATGTACGTGGCTATTTTGCGTGGTCATTGATGGACAACTTCGAATGGATACGTGGTTACAGCACAAGATTTGGACTTCATTACATTGATTGCCAAACATTAAACCGGATTCCAAAGCTTTCTGCTAAATGGTACAAACGCTTTCTAACCAAAAGTAGCCCAAACAATGAGGGAGCGGTAAATAGAAGCTTATTCAGAAAAAATAATCTCATAATGTCTGGATTAGAAGAGGAACGATCAGAAATGTAACTATACCAAGGACCATTGATCTTGTTTTCATCCCCATGTTCAATATCATCTTAGTAAACTGTTTCTTAATGTTGTTTTATGGCTTGTAGGATGTGCTTATTGCACTTTTTTCAAGGATAGTTTAAAGGTTCTTGAAACGTCTCTTCCAAATTTATAATTGTATTTTATCTAACAAAAGAGCAAACTTGACCAAGTAAAGTAGTATCTGAAAGACTTTATCTTATATGTAATTTAGCATCAATAATGATGCTATTGAATCATAATTGCATGGTTCTCATTGTGTAGCTAACTTTGATGAATTCGCTCTAAATTTTGGCCCAGATTGAGAAAATCCGGATGCCCATTGTGTCACATTTGCGACAGATGAAACAAACATCTATTGTAGGCAACTTGAGGCCACATAACATAGCAATTGTCAATGGAACTTCTTTCCCACAATACTATTCTTTTGAACTTGTTTTTCAAACTGCAGTCGTTTTCATGAAAGTGTGGGTTAAACCCACTTTTTTTTTTTTTAGCGTAAAAGCGTAATAAGTGTAGAAAATGGGTAGATAGATAAATAAGATTGAAAACCATTGTAATCAAGTGAAAAACTCGAGATGAGATCATATTTCTTAACTTAAAAAGTGAAATTTCTAATTGGAAATAGGAAATTAACTCAACCTTGTGGTAATCATGAGCTAATCAACTAGTGAAGGGGGCATGGATCAGAGATGGGTGGAGCTTTGATGGAAGAATCGATGATAAGGAATGTAAGGTCGGGAAAATCAACGGTAATGTGGGAGGCAGATGAAGTTTGCACATTGTTTCATATATATATTATTACATTGAATTAGTAAGTGGTCTAACTGATTGTATATTCATATCGGACTTGTTAATAATAGAATTAGACAACTTCAAATAGAATTCAAATTATTGATTAAAAATTTTCTTATCATATCCAATTATCATGGTCAAATTTAGATTGAAATCAAACCCATTAACTACTGTAATAAAATGGAAGGACTACCATAGGGCCTGGATAAGATAAAGCAGGACAACCTATAATTTGACAAATTAACATAGGTGGGATCTAGAGCCTCTTAATTTCAATTTTGTAAAGTTTGGCCAGGTTCAATAATGTGCTATTTATTGATTGGTACTTATTAATAGGTTCCATATGACAATACTGTCTAATCACAATAATAGAACTCAATAAGTTTAAGATGATTAGATATGATTAATTTTTTCTAATTAAAAAAGCGTATATGGGGTCCCATTCAATGTAGAATTTCCATCATTACGAGACAATAACAACCCATATGTTTTGTGAAAACCCTCCAGAGAGGCTAGATAGAGAACTCACATGTGCACCTTAAAGATGACTTAACCTATAATCGGATCTCAACTCTATCAAACCGCTAGAAACAATTCACAAGCCTATTCTTTATGAATTGAAATGCTCTGTTTGGTACGATAAAAAAGTAAGAGGATAGAAAATTGAAAGGATAGAAAATTAGAAAGATAAATAAAATATCATATTTGGTAAAGAAGGAAAGTAGGAAGGATGAAAAAGTGGATGAATTAATTTTCCTTCCAACTCACTAAAATTAATCCCTCTAAAATCGGAAGGAAAGTGGATGAAAATTTAATTATTTGTATTGAGATGTATCTTATTTGTCTATATATCTAATGTATACATTAATTTCATATAAAAATACAATAGTAAAATATGTATATATATTTTAAAAATTAATTTCAAAAAAAATAAAATAATAAAAAATAATAAAAATTTCTAGTTAAAAAAAATATTTTTTCCATCTTAACTAAGGGTGAAAATTTTCAACTCAACACGATAACACGACTCGAACTCAATACAAAAATAAATAAGTCAACTCGCAACTCGACATGACACAATTAGTTAAATAAATTAAGTTAGGTTTGACTAATATTCGACATAAACTCGTAATGACTCAACACGAATCTAACACGACACGACTCGACTCTATTGTCACTCTTAATCTTAGCTAGTACAAAACAAAATAGTCATTTTTATTTTTCATCCATCCAACTAAATACATAGGAAGGAAAATGTATTCTTCCTACTTTTCATCTTTGAAGGATAAAAAATGTATCCCTCCTACTTTCCATCTTTCTTACTTTTCATCAACCTTATCAAAAACATAACTTTTACCTGCCTCAACTAAAACCCTTAAGAAGGTGTTAAGTGTCAATAGACCAAACAACTTTGTGGTAATAAATTTTAGATTGATTGGACCCACGTACACAAATTAAACATGTGATCCAAGATTTGCCTCGGGCCCCACTAAATTTGCAGATAAGTGGACTCCACTAAATATTGCATTATAAATGTGCTGGTTCGTGCTCTCACTCTCTTACAAGACTGTTATCTGTATTATTCCAACCAAAATTAGAAATAAAAATCATAACTACATTGATCTTCCTTATATTCTCACTATTTCTTGGTAAGTTTTCTGTTAAAGGTTTCTGCTAAACACAGGAAAAAGGAACGTGCTTAGAATGCCGAGATCAGTAGCTCGGGTTAGTTCAAACTCGACAGCTAACTATCTTAATAACTCTAGAGCTCGGTAGAGTCCTGTCTCAAAAGGACTTTGACTAGTTCAACTCAATCTTCATTTCCACTTAGCCAGCAAAATTGGGTCAAGTAAGTGAAGTAACCAACCTAGCTTAAGTAGACATATTACGATCCACTAATAGCCTAATGATATGGACTATAAGTGGCGAGGCCATGAAGGAGATCGGGGTAAGTGTATCAAACACAAATAAAAGCTTCCTCTTATCCCTAAAATATCTTCAATTGATTTTACCATTAGAGGGTTGACCCTCAGAGCTTCTCCAGTTTTTGACTTGCATTTACAGGTTCACAAGAGGATTGTCCTTGTTCGTTGTCGCATTTGAAGGTCGGTTGCAGATTGAAGGAGCATATCTCAAAGATTGCAAAAGTTTCATCAATTGGAATGTTTTTTGTCACATCGAAGGTAACAAAATTGACGTAACTTTAGGCGGCTCCGTAGCCTTGAGTTGACACGTGGACAGTTATAGCTGTTATGAATTGCAAAGGGCGCTGCTAGGCAAGGACGCCGAGGAGTTATGGCATGAAAATGTCAAGCACCACTTATTGAGCCCAACATTAAAGAGGATAAGACAACTCATTAATGATGACTTGAATGACTGTGACAAGACCATTAATGAGCCTCCATGTTCTCAAGTCCCGTAAATACAGTCATCATTACAAGATATTAATTTTCATTACGCCGACTCGTGGTCCTCGGCGAACTTCGAGGTGCTTATTCCCAAGCATTTAACACTCAGACGTAGGTGTAAAGCACCAAGAAGAGGTTCTTAAATGATCAGTTATAGGTAGTGAATGCTCGGAGGATCTCGAGCACGGACTCACCCTACCGAGGGGGTTAATCTTGAGGGGATTTGACTAAATTGTCCTCCTAATGCTTGGATATGAGAGTCATCCAATAAATACTGAGACGGGACTCACAGACCCCCTAATTNGGGGGTTAATCTTGAGGGGATTTGACTAAATTGTCCTCCTAATGCTTGGATATGAGAGTCATCCAATAAATACTGAGATGGGACTCATAGACCCCCTAATCNTAATCTTGAGGGGATTTGACTAAATTGTCCTCCTAATGCTTGGATATGAGAGTCATCCAATAAATACTGAGACGGGACTCACAGACCCCCTAATTATTACTACTTCAGGTATAAATACCCCTCAAGAAGTTGAACAAAGGTACGTAAACTAAACCAAAAAAATACATTGTGCTAATGTCTCCAATGCCGATTGACTTAAGCTTCGGAGGGAATTAACCGGGTGTGTACCTGGCCCATTTCCTAACCTTTTGATTGTCTCAAGTTCATCATCCCACAGGTCGTTATGTCTAATCATTGCAGGAATTCATCTGTGCAATTTGACGTCGTCTGTGGGAACCCAAACTGTCTTTTCCTGTAACGAGAGCTTTATGGTGAACACACAATCCCAAGATGATGGAGGGAAAGCTACACGTGATAAATGTGAAAGCCAACCGACTCCCACCAATCACTGAATTAGACTCCTTGAGTCAGTCAGATGGAGGCCAACATGCCTCACAATAGGCCTTGCCAGTAGATCAGAGCCTTGGGGGGCAAGGCGTTTTGGCTTGTGAAATCATCGAGTTGATGGAGAAATGGATGGGAAACCATCTTAAGCAACTTGACAAGGAAAATGCCAAGGTGCAGACTCGGCTTGATGATTTTCGAGCGATTGGAGAGTACTAGCTAGCGAAGCAGCAGACGTGAAGATAGGAACATCCACTAAGGTGATTCCAGGGGTGCAAGGCTGGAGGCCTCAGGGAGGAGCTTACACTGGCGCCTAGGTGAGAAGCATAGGCCCCAGAGTTATGAAATGTTTGACCTCAGGGATAGATTAGAAGGGCATAGACACAGGACAGACCTTTCCCATGGAGATCTCTGTCATAGGCTCTCAGGAGGCATCGGGATGATAGAATCCCGCACAAACTCTATTGTCAGGGGACCTAGAAAGACCAAGCCCTGGAAGGACCTCTCAACACGCTTGGATGCCAAGCGTCAAAGACTATACCACAAGGAGGATGAAGACACCGTGGATGAGCAAATCGTCTCCCCGTTCATTCGGGCAATCTGAGAGATTAAAATGCCAAAGAAGTTCACTGTCCCTCATTTCAAAGTTTATAATGGAAGAACGGATCCCGAGGGTTATTTATGACAGTATAAATAGTTGATGTCCATCTACGACACCGATCAGAGGTTGCTGTGCCTAGTGTTCCCATTGAATTTGGGAGACACCGCTATGAAGTGGTATGAGAGTTTGGCCCCCGAAAGCATCAGGTCTTGGAAGTAGATGACTGAGCTCTTTGTTGCTCGATTTATCACTAGCAACAAGAGTCCAAAAGATATTGGCACATTACTGACACTCAAACGGAGGGGTGGAGAGAACTTTCGACAGTACGCAATCAGGTATTGGGAGGAGGTTAATGAGGTTAAGGCATGCTCGAAGGCCATGGCGGTCGCGACATTTTAGCTAGAATTGTACCAAGACACTGACTTGTACAAATCTCTTACTAATCGAGTTCCAGTGAACATGAAAGACCTATTGACTTGAATAAACATGTATGCAAGGATGGAGGAGGAGTCGCTTGTGATCGAGCCTAGGGTTTCAGCTCCAAAGAGCCAAGAGAGGGAGCTTCCTACAAGGAGAGGGGCACTAGCCCCGACTCTGAGCCGCCTGTATTTTCAAGGGGTAACCACAGTCTTCAAAGAATCCATCTACAAGATGCTTCATAAGATAAAAATAGAGCCTTTATTTAAATGGTGTCCAAAGATGCAAGAAGACCCATCTTCTAGAGATTCAGCCTCTCAGTGTTCTTACCATTGGGACGTTGGGCATCAATCATAGGACTACTGAGTATACAAGTCATTCCTCGAGAAATTGGTCTGAGAAGGACATCTTAGGAAATTCATTGATGATATGGCCCCAAGGGGCTTGGCGAGGGAAGGAGTCGGCGTGTCCAAGGAAGCTGCGACCGTGATTAAAGTAATACACACTTGCAAAATGGATAGACCAACTTATAATTCACTTCGAGCCAACATCCAAAGGGTTTCAAAAGCCGTAAGGGTGGAGGAAAACAAGTATGGAGGGCAGTCGTCTAAAAGACCTCGACTAAATTTTGAGACCATCTGTTTCTTTGACACCGACTTAGGCGGTCTGAAACTTCCATATAAGGACACTCTAATGGTCAC